AGGAGTGCCCTTGACTGAAACCCATATTGATACGAACACGCACTGTCCGGGGGTAGGAATCTCCCGCCCAGTAAAGAATGTCCAGTACTCACAATTTAGTTCTCTCTCTTGCAAGTGTAAATTAAGTTAAAACTTTCTTGTAAGAACTGGTGCCACAGAAATGGACCAGTACAATTTGGCATCTTAGCTAAGAAAGAGGATACGGGCCCCTATGGGTATAAAGATGGGTCCAGCAGCACATTTACTCTTGAGTGTCAATCTACCATCTATCTGCTGGTCGGGTTAGGTGTTTTGACCTCCCGAGGTTCCACGGGGACGCTCACCTCGTATTCGTCTTTCCTAGGAATTGAGGGACCGGCCCTAGCTTGACCCGCTGGAGTTGAGAGGCACAGAAGGGGGTAAAAATTGTACCTGGATGTGGTCCTTTGTCTTAAGTGTACAAATAGACTTAGAGCTCTTTAAAGATTAAGCTGTCACTTGGTACCATTATTTCTATATTCTATCTTTATTTTCTTTGTAACCATTTTTAAGATCTATATTTGCTAGCAGCTAAGAAATAGAGCAATCGCCATTTTAACCATATGATTTATAAGCTGCTTTAATAAACCTGTAACTGTTTAAGTTTTAACCTGACTCCTTCAGTTGCTGTAACAGAACCAAGCACAATTTAAAAGAACTTCAGCCGGTCATAAGGGACAGGTATAGGAAGAGCCTGGGCATTTGGATCGTGTCACTCCCAGGTGACAGATCCGTTGGGGCATCTCTCAGTCTTCCCTAGACTGCCCGCTGTGAAGGGATCCTGTATCCTAGCAGCTAAAATCTGAAGTGTAATAAGCTCTTCCTATAAACAGGAGTGTCTGTCAGCCTGTTGGCTGCCCTCTGCGATGGGACCCCGGTCCTAGCAGTAAAGTCACGGACGTTAAACCTTTTCTCAGCATACACACTCACACACACACACACACACTGCCCTGACCGTTGGCTGACAATGGCCTAATCAAATAGGTTGTGCTTCAGACAAAGATCCCTCACGACTTGAGTCCATTTGGTGAACAATGTGCAAATTGAGCAGAAACGTTTTGGACACTAAATTCCTAAGGGTATGCCTACACTACAGAGCTAATTCAAAATAACACATTATTTTGAATTAACTGTAATAGCTGTCTACACATACAAACTGCTATTTCGAAATAAACTCGAAATAGCGGAGCCCTTATTTCAAATTAGGTAAACCTCATTCTACGAGGAATAATACCTAATTCGAAATAGCTAATTCAAAATAAGTGCTGTGTAGACACATTTCGAATTAGGGGGCCTCCAGCCCTTTCCAGTTCCCCCTGGTGGCCACTCTGGGCCAAACCAGGAAAACTCCTCTCCCCCAGCCCCGGGGCCCTTAAAGGGGTAGACTCTGGCCAGATGGCACTTGACGGAGCCAGGCCTGCCAGCAGTCTCTTCTCCTGACCCAGTGGCCCTAGGATGACCAGGCAGCCAGTGCCAGTCAGCTCTCCCCCACCCAGACCCCCAGCACCCAGGGGCCAGCCAGGGGCCATAGACGGCGCGTGCCCTCGTGGACTAGTGCGGAGATCATGGACCTCAGTGAGGTTTGGGGGGAGGCCCCCAACGTACAGGATCTCCGCACGAGGCAGAGGAACGTGGCCATCTACAGCCACATAGTGACCACCATGGCCAGAAAGGGACACAGGCGCACCCAGGAGCAGGTGCACCTGAAAGTTAAGGAGCTGCAGCAGGTGTACGCCAGGGCCACCAGGGGCGGCGCCGCAGCAGGGGCTGCCACCTGCCCCCACTCCCTGGAGGCAGCGAGCCAGGACCAGAGGGCACTGACCCAGGCATACCAGAGGGGCCACAGCCAGCTCCAGCCCTTTCCAGTTCCCCCTGGTGGCCACTCTGGGCCAAACCAGGAAAACTCCTCTCCCCCAGCCCCGGGGCCCTTAAAGGGGTAGACTCTGGCCAGATGGCACTTGACGGAGCCAGGCCTGCCAGCAGTCTCTTCTCCTGACCCAGTGGCCCTAGGATGACCAGGCAGCCAGTGCCAGTCAGCTCTCCCCCACCCAGACCCCCAGCACCCAGGGGCCAGCCAGGGGCCATAGACGGCGCGTGCCCTCGTGGACTAGTGCGGAGATCATGGACCTCAGTGAGGTTTGGGGGGAGGCCCCCAACGTACAGGATCTCCGCACGAGGCAGAGGAACGTGGCCATCTACAGCCACATAGTGAAAGCAGCTACATCAGGCGTATGCCAGGGCCACGAGGGGCGGTGCCGCAGCAGGGGCTGCCACCTGCCCCTACTTCCCCACCCTCGACCGACTCTTGGGGGGCGGGGCGGTCTGTGCCAGCCTGGGGGACAGCGAGCTGGGACCGGAGGGCCCTGACCTGGGCACACCGGAGGAGCCACCACAAGATGTTCTGCAGGGTCGTCCAGGGAGACTGTACCGGGTAAGTAGTTCGAATTAAGTAGTTCGGGGGTGGAGGCGGGAGGGAGACCAGAGACCGTGCGTGTGGGCCATGCCTTCCACGGATCACGCAGACACCTGGGCATGTGCCATGCCACCCTTGGGCAGATGGCTCCAGCTGTGTGACACCCAGTGGCCATGGCCCAATAGGCACATGCATGTGTGAAGAGACCTGACATGCTCCTGACCCCGGGGTGGGACCCAGTAGGATGCTTTCCCTTCCCATGTCCCCTCTACACGGAGGCAGGGGACATCTCCCCCTCCCCCGCACTGCCCCGGCCACACTATACATGGCACAGGGGCATGGGTGCAGTCTTGGGGCAAGTCCTGGGGAGAGCCAGACATCCTGACCATGGCCTCTGTGCAAGCCCATCGGCTCTGACGGTGCAGGGCACGGTCGCCCTCACATCGCGGGAGGCGCTGGGCATCATCCACTGTGTCCCCAGGCAGAACTGACCACTTCTCTTCTTTCTTTATAGCTGCACCAGCCCACCCGGGACATGCTCCCACACCCGCGGCCTGCTCCGGACCACCAGCACGCGGCAGGAGTACTGGGACCAACATCTGGGGGCCCTGCACCGCACCATCCAGACCTGGATGCTGGAGGATGCTGGAGGCCCTGCAGCTCTGCCAGGAGCAGCTGGCTGAGGTCCAAGGGCTGAGCATAAACCTGCAGGCCCTGCTGCAGAGCATGGTGCCCCGTGCCAGTCCTGCGCCTGCTGCCCCCCAACTACTGTCCCTCCTCCCACTGCTTCCTCCTCGACCTCCACACCCTCCTCCTCAAAGTCCACACCCCCCACCTCATCCTCCGCACCATCCTCCCCATCCCCCTGGGGACGCCAAGGCCCCCTCCCCTGACATGCTGGAAGGCGGTTGGCCCAGCGAGACCCCCACCCTTAAGACCTGAGCTTCCCCTCCCCCTTCTTCCCCTTGCTTCCTCCTTCCAGCTCCCTCCTCCCAGTTTTCCCCCTCCCCTCTCCCACACTCTCTCCTGCCCTCTCCCGCCTCCTTTCCCCCGTCTCCCCAGAGTTTCATTCCCCTTCCCCAGTTGTGTTAAATAAACCCAGTTTATATTTTTGAAAATATGTATATTTCATTTGACATCAGGAAGGGGGGGCTAAGGAAGGGTAAGAGGAAAGATGTGAGGGAGGAATGGGGCATGAGCTCCTGGTGGGGAGGACCGGTGTGGCTCTGAGGGCTCCTCAGGGTGGACGCTCTCCTGCAGGGCCTCCTGGATCCTGACAGCCCCCCGATGGACCTCCTGGATGGCAGCCTGCAGTAAGTGCAGCCGGGCTAATGGCTACGACCCCACGAGACGCACCAGCATGCCCAGGGATAGGTCTGGTTCCATGTTGCAGAGTGCCGTGGTGCCCCGAGTGAGGGCAAGCAGAGCACTCCGAGACACAAATGCTTTGCTGTCCCTCAGCGAGGTGGACCAGCAAGCAGAGAAACCTGAGAACTGTCTGTCTGGGATGGGGGGTCGGGTTCCTTTAAGCACAGACCTCAGCTAGCCTGAGGCAGCAGCCCCACACACTAAGTCTGACCTTGATACCCTTTTGGCACTGGTTCCGGCCAGCCTTATCTTCGATTCAGGGTCCACCCAATGTGGACGCGCTATTTCAAATTAGAAAAACGCTATTTCGAATTAGTTTTTGGGTCTAGATGCATTATTTCGAATTAGCTTATTTCGAATTAACTAATTCGAAATAAGTTAATTCGAAATAGCGCTGTAGTGTAGACATACCCTTTGTTAGAAACCAGTATCACAAATAGAAAAACAAATCACTAAAATCTATGGTCAACACACATACCTTGATTGCCTTGTCAGCTAAAAATCTTGCCAGTTTGAATTTGTCCAGTTTGGGAGAAAGGGGCAACTCTTCTGCAACTGTCTGGTTTAACTCTAAAAAAGAAAATCAATAAAAATAAGCTATCGTGCAACAGGAACTGTAACTAAAGGAGCAATTAATACACAGGAAAAGATGACCATCTTTGCAGTGCTCACTCTTCTAAATAGTACTCAGCTCACAATGTACCTAGGTACAGATAAAAATATAAGTACATATCTAAAAGCTTACAAACCACAGCCCTTATCCTGCAAGTTCATCCAAATTGCCATGTGAAGTCAATAGGGCACCATACAGGCACTTACTTAAGATACTTAGCTGTCCCCCACCAACTCAATCACCAGAACACCTTATAATCTTTAATGAATTTACTCCCTTAACACCCTTGTAACGTAACCCAGTATTGTTAGCCCCATTTTTCAGTTAGGAACAGAGGCTATGTCTACACTGCAGGGTTTTGCAAGCAGAGAGTATGCTAATGAAGTGCTCATTAGCATGTGTTGCACTGATCTGTTTTGCACAAAAAACCCTTTTGCACAAGATCCTTATACCTCCTTTTTTGAGGCATAAGGATCTTGTGCAAAAGGGGGGGTTGTGCAAAACAGACCCATCTACATTGCTTGTTTTTGCGCAAAACCTCTTGCGCAAAAAGCATCAGCAGAGAATATGCAAATGACAGCATGACAAATGCTAATGTGCGCTTCATTAGCATACTCTCAGCCAGCAAAACCCTGCAGTGTAGACATGGCCAGAGAGTCTAAATTATTTCCTCAACATCCCACACAAAGTCTGTGGTGCAGCAGGGAACTGAATCTGGACATCTCAAATCCTAGGTGAGCACCCTCTCCGCTGCACCATCCTTCCTCTTTTCCTGGCTATCTGAATGAGTTTGCAGGATCAGAGCCAAAAAAGACTGTTGAATTGGGCCCCAAACCTCTTTCAATGTACTCACATAATGGAATAATTATTAGGATTCCTTATGACTGCATCCTGGAGTGCTGAAAAATAGGCACCTAAGAACACAATCTGCAAAAGCCACCAGGCTAAGCAGTGAGCCACGTAACCTAGCCAATGGGAGATGCTGAGGAGAGGGGTATATGCTAAGCCCCTCATGAAAAGGAGGGGTCTTTCTCTGGTACTGGTCAACAGGTGGGAACCACTCTCCTAGAAATAGGTGCCTTAGATGCCTAAATTGTTTGTTGTGGGAATGAGTTAGGCTCCCACTTCACCGCACACAAAATGGATAGTGGTAGTGGTGAGAGTCAGGGAACCAGAGAGACAGAGAAACTCCTCTAACCTGATGCTTATGGCATCCAACTGAGAAGTGGGAGACCTAAGGTCCAGTCCCCCTGTCCCAATGCCTACTTAAGTATTTACCCAAAATGAAACAACTTTAACAGGGGAGACCTAGAGCTCCACAACAGACTATCTCAGGGCTTAGTTGCTACAGCACTCTCCTGGAAGTGGAAGACCCTCCTCTTCAAATCCTTTCTCCATCTCAAGCAGAGTGGGGAATTGAACCCCTTTTTCCCACACTCCAAGTTAATATTACAACCCCAGGGCTAAAAGCTATAAAGGGACAGGAACACCTCCAACACTGGCCCCATTTTGAGAGGCATGTGACCATTCCTACCAGAGCAGACTCAGGGTATGTCTAGACTACAGGTTTTTTTCAAAAAAAGTGGCCTTTTTTTTATAAAACTTTACCTGCGTCTAGACTGCTGCCGCGTTCTTTTGAAATTAAATCGAAAGAATGCAGCAGTTTTTTCAACTGCGGAAAACCTCATTTTACGAGGAATAATGCCTTTTTTTGAAAGTGCTCTTTCGAAAAAAGGCACTTTTGAATGCAAACAGTGCTTTTTCGAAAGAGAGCATCCAGACTGTCTGGGTGCTCTCTTTCAAAAAAGCAGCTCTCTTTTTCGAAAATACTGGTTGCTGTCTAGATGATCTCTTTCAAAAGAGGCTTGTAGTCTAGACATAGCCTCAGCAGGGATGATAAGTGCTCTTTTTTAGGTTTATGGATTGCACTTGAACATAGGCAGAAGACAGATTTCTGTGCACCTAGAGGGAGGCAGCAGCATGCATGTCCAGAGGTAGAAACTTAGGCATCTAGAAAAATTTTACCTTGAAATCTTAGGTACTGCATGGGTTAGGTGGCAGCCAACCATGAGTTTTGTGGATTACAGTGCAGTTTAATAATAGAACCTGGGCACCTACAGGCCAGAATTGGGCATCTTACTACCTTTGTGGATTTGAGCCATTATCAAACATTTTCAGGTGGTAGGAAATCACTCATCTTTACTTATGTCTTAAACAAACACCAATTCAGCAAACACTTAACCGCAGGTGTAACTTTAATCATCTGTGTACACAGGAAAAGGGCCAACCTTTGCTTACTATTACACATAAAGAGCTGCCTATCTCCATTTGCCCCGCAACCTACCCATCATTTAGTAGCTGTTGTGATCTTTTTGTAGCTGTTGTGGCAGAAGTGAGACTTAAGAAGAGATCCAAAGGAGGAGAGGACAATGGCTTTATGGATCAATTCAGGAAAGGCATCTAAAGGTCTCCATGGAAGAAGGTGCACAGACATTGTTCAAGAAGCTAACAAGTGAGCAAAGCTGACATTTTTGGCAGAGCAGAAGAGGTGGCAGGGGAGGGCGATGCAATCTAAAAAAGAGTAAACAAGTGTGTAGCAGACAAACTGCAAAGAGATCTTGAATTTAATACAAATGAAATGGGGAAATCAAAGAAGGATGAAGATGTAGTCAAAGAGATGGGCAAGATAGGTGACCTTAGAAGCAGTATCTTGAATGGAGTGGCAAGGGTGATGCAAGTATTAGGGAGGCCACAGAGGAGGTAGTTATAATTGTTACGGTGATAGCTGATGAGATCTGGAAGGAGATTTTTAACTTTTTGGACAGAAAGAAAAGGATTTTAGATATATTTTGCAGGAAGAAGCTCCAAAAGAAGCTGCTGTGGACAGGACATTCCTCTGCACAGAAAAATATTATTATGGAAAAAGCAAAGACTAATAAGCTTTCTAATTAGTCCCATCATTGCATCTTAGCAAAGTTTCCTTTTTCCATTAGTTCCTATGGAGAAAAGTAACTTCTTGTAAAACTTGCATTTCCACATGTAGTCTTACCAAGAAAGTAAATTTAATACAAAATTACAAAAACAAACCTCTAACAGTCTTGTCAAGCATAATGGAAAGTCTGGTTATTCAAGATCTGAGCATGCAACCAGAACTACATCAGTTGCATTGTTGTCCCCATGTGGAGCCTTTTTGGCTTCAATGGGACTTTGCAAGGGCCACCCACATACATCCAATCATTGGATTCAGCACTAATGGTAAATTACCTGGCTGAAATGTTGCCAAGTGAGTGTGAAATTTTTTAAATTAGGAAATAGGGACATTAAGTTATTGACCAGCCAGTGACTTACCAGGAAACAATCCCTGGTGGCAGCAAACTGTGGGAAAACCTTTGTTCACACTGAGTTTTGGGATTTTCTGGGGAGGGAGGTTGATTCTTATCATTCCTATCAAAGATAACAGATAGTTTCCAATATACAGAACTAGAGAAGTTATTTGACATCAATAAGACTAGATGTTCAAAGTGACGTTTAAAAAAAATGGCCATAAGGAGCTAAGGAAGAAATAATTAAATACTTCCGCTATGATAAAAGCTTTCTAATGAAAATTAAATAAAGCTGCTATAAGAAATCCTTCATGGAATAAAATTCTGATTCCAATTACTCATTTCCATCAATGGGAGGAACTATATGTTTATTTCACAGCAAGAAAAATATTTTTTCTGCAGATTAATAATTTTAATTTAGGTATATAAATTATCTCCATAAGACATCACTCAAGGCTCGTGTATTCAAGACAATTAGTTCTCAAGGTCCTGATTCTGAAACGTATGAAGAGCCAAATGCAGTTAATGCAGAATTAAGGGTAGCTAATCCCTTGTATTTTACAAGAAATGAGCGAAAATCTATGAGTTATGCAAGAAAGAAAAACTGGCTCACCAGCATGTTCCCTTTTCTTACAATCCTGCTGCAGTCCTTCCCTTGGAAATCCATATCAGCACACAGGATGTTGTTAAAGGTAGACAGAGGAGAACTGATTGCTCTCCACCAGATTTTTCCACCCAAAATTCCCCACAGGCTAGCCTCAGTAGATTATCTCTTTGTACTATGGGATTCCTTACCCTGGTGGTATTTTTCTGGGAACAGTAACAGTTGGAGGATACTGTAACAACACATATGCTTTTCAGGGACTGTAACGAACCAAAAGTGTAAAGTGACAGTGCATAGCCAAGGCATAGATGGCTTTTGTGCCAAATGGATCCCTGAGATCTGCATGTGTCTTGGGAGATCTGAGAATTCAAGTGTAAAATCTCCAGTCTATTCCACAAAAGGGCAAATGCTGCCATATCTTCTGTGATCTAACACCTCTCCTACCCAAAACTGGAAGAATCCCATCAATAATATAAAAGTTAAAGATTTCAGATTTTCCACCTCCCTAGTCACAAATAACCAAAGCAGGGACCCCTAAACATATCGTATGACTGAAATCTCACTCTATGTCTTTTGCTCTGGTCTTCTGTTGATTTGAAATCTCTATATAAAGATGTCTTTGTTTTAGGAATAATGTATTGTAAATCATTTTGCAAATTTTATTTAAAAACTCAGTAAAAACTTCATCACACGTGGCAATAATCCAGTGAAACAAATTTGTAGTTTTAATTAGGCATTAAAATTAAATCAATAATTCCAGCTATACATTTTACCTCCTAAAAAGGTATAATAAAGAAATGTTGCAGTCACATAATCACAGACTTCCTCTTATCTTTTTTAAAGAACATTAATTGTCCCATAAGTAGAATTACACTGTGTGGGGTAGTTCATCTCTGAACAAGCACTAGCTGGGCATATATATTCTCTGACTAAAGGTTCCTTTGTTGTTAGAAAAAGATTATGGGGAAAATATTATATATAGATATTTTATAGCTGACTCCTGACTTTAGCAAAAGTTTGATTAAAATTCATTTGCAAATACAAACTATTTTTTTCTTCTTTTCTTTCTTCATCACTTAAACTCGGTGGTAGTGGTCTTCTTTCTCCATGAATCTGATTCATGATGATACATTACACTATGTCATCATTATTTCACTCTGGCTATTTGCCCTGTAAATTTAGAGAGAGAAGATAACTGAATTTGTTGTAATAGGCTTCCATGCTATATTTTCTCTTCTTATTATTGTTCAATATTCAAGCAACTACACCAACTTAAACACACACACATTTCTTTCTGAGAATGTTTACCTACTATAATATTGTTCTTCGTATGTAAATGATGATAAATGGCTTTAGAAATTATGCCAAACCAAAAATATGCAAATTAGGGATGTAGACAATTAGTCAACTATCTATTAAGAAGAAGCTAGTGATGTGACTAGTCGCTTCCCCTCCCTCCCCCCACTTGCTCTCAAGAGAGAGGCAGCAAGGGGAGGAGCTGGAGCCAGTGCTGTGGGAAGCTGGTTTAAAAGCTGGCTCCCCCAGAACCGTCTCAGCAGGGGGCAGGGGAAGTAGAGGCGCAGCAGGAAATGGTGTGAGCAGGGACTAAAGCAGTCTCCGCTCGTGCTGCTTCTCCTGCAATTCTGCTTTTGAAATGTACAAGAGCCCAGTAGGGCTCTTGCTATAATTCAAAGGCAGAGGCGCCCTTATAGACTAATAGATGTTAATTAATCTAAATTTAACATAGAATCATGGGGCTGGAAGAGACTTCAGGAGGTCATCAAGTCTAGCCCCCTGCCCAAAGCAGGATCAATCCCAACTAAATCATCCCAGTGAGGGCTTTGTCAAGCTGAGACTTAAACACCTCTAGGGATGGAGATTCCACCTCCTCCCTTGGTAACCCATTCCAGTGCTTCACCACCCTCCTAGTGAAATAGTTTTTCCTAATATCCAACCTAGACCTGCCCCACTGTAACTTGGGACCATTGCTCCTTGTTCTGCCATCCATCACTACTGAGAACAGCCTTTCTCCATGCTCTTTGGAACCTCCCTTTCAGGCAGCTGAAGGCTGCTATCAAATCCCTCCTCACTCGTCTCTTCTGCAGACTAAACAAACCCAGATCCCTCAACCTCTTCTCATAGATTATGTGCTCCAGCCCCCTAACACAAATCCATATGCAGTCCTCCTAACTGACATGGAAGAAAGATATTTTGTGTATAAAAAAATCAGTTTCTGCAACAACTCAGGAAGTTTCATCTATGGCAGGGATGGGTAAGAGGTTGCCAGTGGGCCAGATCCAGCCCCTGGTTGGGTGAGAGCAGCTCACGTTTTAAAAGCCAGCTGCTTTCTGCTGTGGATGGCTGGGGAGGGAGGAAGGAGGCAGTCTCCATATGCTACCTCCACACCCCAGCAAAATCTCTCAGATCCCAGCCAATAGGAGCTGAAAAATTTTGCTGGGAGCACGGGCAGTGAGGGAAGCCTTCTCCCTCAATCCCCCACCTCCCCGCCAATGCTCAGAGCAGAGCTACGTGGAGCAACAAGTAGCCTGCAGCAGATACTCTGCTTCAGGTTTCTGCATGGCTGGAAGCTGCCTAGGTAAGCACCAGAGCCTGCCTCTGGAACCCTACCCCCTCTCTCTGCTCTGACTACTGGTCCCCGGGCCACCACCCATACCCTCCATGCCCTCTTTCCCCCTTCTTCCAGGTCACAACTCCCTCCCAGACCATGTACCCCCTTCTGCACCCCTCCCCCAGGCCAGAATCCTCTCCTGCACCCAGACCCCATCCTGGACTATGCACCCCAAGCCCCTGCCCCAGATCACAGCCCCCTCCTTCACCCAAACTTCCTCTCAGACCCCTCACCTCCTCCTGCATCCCAGTCTCCTACCCCAAGCTCCCTTCTGCATCCAGTCTCCATACCCTCTTCATAGAAGTTCAGCTCTTGACCACTTACCAAAATCTTGGGAGTGGCTCCCCATTAAAAATTATGGTCTATGGTCTCCTAAATACATCTATGTCCGCCAGTGACTAGACCTACAGAGCTTATGTCTGAATTGCAATATCTGCTTGTGAAAAACAGGAGCTGCTTGGGGATGGGGTTGAACCTAGGGCTGATCCTAAACGTGTAGAGGTATAAAGCACGGCTATGTCTAGTTTTCTGTTAAAAGCACTTTTTGCGGAAAAGCATCCGTGCCAATCTAGACGCGCTTTTGTGCAAAAAAGCCCCGATTGCCATTTTAGCCATCGGGGCTTTTTTGCGCAAAACAGTACTGTGCTGACTACACTGGCCCTCCTGTGCAAATGATTTGGGCAAGAGGGCTTTTGCCCGAACGAGAGCAGCACAATATTTCCGCAAGAAGCACTGATTTCTTACAGTAGAAAGTCAGTGTTCTTGCGGAAATTCAAGCGGCCAGTGTAGACAGCTGGCAAGTTTTTCCGCAAAAGCAGCTGATTTTGCGGAAAAACTTGCCAGTCTAGACACAGCCCATCAGTGAAACCTAATCACTCTTTTGGAGGAAGAAGAGAGAGTTCCCGAGCAATGCTGATCCTACGGTTGCCAGGTGCCTGGATTTCAACCAGAACACCTGATCATAAAGGAATGCTGGCTACTCCGGAGCCAATAAAAGTCTGGCCGTGACACAAACAGGCTTCCTGCCCAGCTCCACGGAGCTCCTAGATTACCTGGGGGCCTAACACAGGCCAGCAATTGGGACTGATCCCTTATCAGCACAGCGGCAGGACTCAGAGTAGCCTTGCAGTCTGCTCTGCTTCGCCCCACCACTATCCGCTTCTCCATGGCAGCAGTGTTTTGCTTCCCACTGCCAGGGTATAGCAGAGCATAGCAGGCTGGAAAAAGGCAGTTGGGGCAAGGTGGAGCAGAGCACACTGCCAGTGAGCTCCAGCTCCTGCCACCAAGGTGAGTGCCAGTCCCCTTTGTAATCCCCATCTTGTGTTGCTCTGGGTAGAGGATAATGGGCAGAGCAGAGGCTGGAAAGAATGGAACTTGGGAAGGGGTGAAGTGGGGGCAGGGTGTCGTAGAGTAGGGTGTGGTGGGGCAAGGCCTGCAGCAGGGAGTGGGGGGTGCCCCACGCCTGGGCACTGGGGTGTTGTCATCCCCCCCAGGGATGGAACTGCAGTCTGACACTTCATGTCTGCCTCACTCCAGAGCCCACTTCCCCAGTCTAGGACTTGTAGCCCCATCCACACACCAACAGTTTGCCCCAGCCCTTTCTCAACCTCTGAACCCCTCAGCCCCACACCCCCTAGCCCCTCTTACATTCATTTCCAGCCCCACCCCTTACCCAGCCCAGTGAAAATGAGCACATAAGGAAGGGGACAAGAAGGGGAATAAAGAGGGGGAGCGGTGGCCTGGCAGGCAGGGGCAAGGCAGAAGAGTTGGATTTTCTGCCACTAAAAACTCGGTATGGCAGCTGACCCCTAGGAGGCCTATTTTAAAGCCAGCTGGAGGATAAGGGGTCCCCCAGGCAGAGGGAGCTGGATTAGTTCTCAGAGGCAACCGGAACACAGAGGTCACTTCCGTAGCCCACGGGAACCTACTGAGCAGAGCTTGGCCGCAAGCTCCCTCCTTACCCTGTGGCAGCAGCTTTTCTCTCCTGGGGTGGGGGGGCCCTCCCCTGCCACTTCCCGGCTCAACCTGCATGTAGCTTGCCTGTTACTGAGCGCGCGTTAGCAAGCGGGGCGTGCCGCGGAATGTCTTCTGCTGCTCCCCTCCGGGCTGACTCTGCGGCCGCTCTGATTTGCGCTTGCACAGCCCGGCTGCCCAAGGGCGCGTTTGTTCAAGGGCACGGCCTCGCACTTGGAGGTAGGGGAAGGAAGGACACTTCCCGGCTCAACCTGCATGTAGCTTGCCTGTTACTGAGCGCGCGTTAGCAAGCGGGGCGTGCCGCGGAATGTCTTCTGCTGCTCCCCTCCGGGCTGACTCTGCGGCCGCTCTGATTTGCGCTTGCACAGCCCGGCTGCCCAAGGGCGCGTTTGTTCAAGGGCACGGCCTCGCACTTGGAGGTAGGGGAAGGAAGGATGCAGGGAAGCAAAACCAGCCGTGACACCCCGCGCCCAGCCCTTCAGCGTGCTCCTCTTGAACCTGTTATCGGAGGTGGGGAGAGGTAGAAAGGCAGCAAGAGAGAACACCTGCTGCTACTGGCAGCGAGGCGTGCCGGGCGCGGTTTGGCAGCACCATACTGCAGTGTGCTCCGCGCCTCGGCACTCCGCTCTGGCTCCTCTTCCCACTGGGTTAAAAACTCACTCCGCACACAGGGGGTTGGCAGCGCTGGCTTGGAATCGCTAGCACCAGGGAATAACCAGAAGCGTTAGGTGTCAGTGGGAAGGTGACCGGTACTGAAGTCAGGCAGGCAGGCAAAGGATTAACTGTGATGTTGGGCTAGAAGAGGCTACACAGCTGGTTGAGTAGACAGTAAAGTGGATGGGAACCTCCAGCCCAGTGGCTGGATATGGCCCCCGGCTTGCCTGGATCAAGCCCCCGAGGCTCCCCCACCTGCTCCAGCGTTGGGAGCTCGTGCTGGCACTCCAGCCTCCCCACCATTCCCATGGAGGGCAAAAACACACAAAATCTACTAGCCAGGCCCCCTTAAGCTCTGGTGTGCTAGGGGAATGTCTTTCTCCTTCTCAGTCAGTGGTGAGGGAGCTTTTTTGTTTTGTTTTGCTGCATGCTTATGTGTGACTCACAACTGATTTTTCTGTGGGTCGAAAACATTTCCAACCCCCCCGCCAGTAAAGGCAGTGTGGCTGAATCTGAACTCTGATCCCAGCTATCTGATTTGATAATGATTTCCATTTTTTAAATAGCCTGATCACCTAGCTTGATATGCGGGACTTCTTCAGTGGAATTGAACAAACTTCCAGAGCTACAGCATTAATTGCATCAATGCTGCTGGATTGAACAGGTATGTGTGGTAAATGCAGGTAAATTAGTTGCACCAGTGCATCTTTGAAGTTGGCAAATCATTACATCAAAAAGTGTATATTACACTTGCCTTCCCCAGCTCCAGAGGGAATGATAGGGTGGCAGGCAAGAAAGGAGGTAAACACTTTGGCTGAGTGGAACTGACTCCTAAAAACTGGCAAGCTTCTTTCTGCGTTCTTTCATTTGCTCCCATTCCTTCTCCAAAAGGATAATCATCAGTCTAACGCAACAGTTCTCAAACTATTGCTCAGTCAGGATACAGCTCCTACATGTCTGTCCCTCCGTGACTCTATTTGTTGACATTTTTAAATGTCTCCCACTGTCGCAATCCAAATTCTAAATCAGATCATATTACTTACTTTCACTGCTGGGGAAGCCAACTTAAAATTTCTTACAGATGCTGTCCTATTGCAACCTGAGCCCTGCTACCTCTTTAAATAGCTCCCTGCTGGGTTTTGCTGCAGCTCAGCCAGCTCTGACCAGAGCTGCGCATCAGGGTACACCTACTTACTTTTGCCTCTGGACTTCCCTACATTATCCCTGCTCTTTCAGGCTATGTCTACATTGCACTCTCTTGTGCAAGAATATATGCAAATGAGGTGTGGCGATAAATACTTAATAAGCCACCATTTTTGTGCAAGGGGCTTTTGCACAAAACCTCCCTCTTGCGCAAGAGCCATTCTGCTGTTTATTTTCAGGCAGAATGGCCCTTGCGCAAAAGCCCCTTGTGCAAAAATGGCACCTCATTTGCATATGTTCTTGAGCAAGAGAGCACAATGTAGATGTAGCCTCAGATGAATACAGTTTTATTCACTTCTTGTTAAGACTTTTCTTTAGGTTTTTACTATGTTGTTAACCTGCTGACTATTCTACTTCTAAGGCAGATAACTTCAGTGATTGGTGAAGTGACCCATGTTTTAGGAAGTCCTTGGGGTCCACTGGAGAAAGATCCATTAGTGAAACACATGATGTTTTGCCATTGTCAGATCATTGGCTTGTCTTCTATCATTCCTGAAAGTCAAAGTTAACATGCCTGTAGCAAAGTAAAGGACTATAGCAACAGTTTTTCTACAGCGCTATCACTATTTGGTGCAGAATACGTAAGTTTTTCACATTAATATTGATGTCATAGAAGTTGAGGGCTCTCAGCATCTTATAGGTTTGGGCTGTATAAGACAATTAAGCCCTCAAGAGGACATGGGGGTCCCTTTTTATTTCTTTTCCCCTCAAGCCCAGTGATAAAATGTCTGTTACTTCATGTCTAATACATTGAAAGTGGGAATGTATGAGTTTAACTATTTAAATGGTTAACCCATACGCATAGGCTTATTGATTACGGAAATGATTAAACAGTGGCTCCTGAACCTGCTTGCAGGGAGCCGGCTGCTGCCCTGCTCCTGGGGGACCAGGACCGTGAGGGAGTCTGGGGCTACAGGTGGCAACCCCTGTGGAAGGGTGGGGCTGGGAGTCACCATGGCAGCTCCTGCAAGTGGGGATGGGGTACTGGAGTGTTAGCATTGCATTTAACTGTTTAACCAATTAAACAGGATTTTAAATCTCTACTTGAAAGGCTTGGTCAATCATAAATTTGACAAAAAGACAACTAATGGGAGACAAGGATTTAATTTCACAACAGGCAAGAATGTTACCATAATAAAGAAACAGAAAACAACCAGTTATAAATTCGCTCAAAATTCATAACATGGAACCATCATCTGACCCTACCCATGCAATGGTACACACATATCAGTTAAACAAAATACCTAAATCCTAACAGGATGATGTTTTCAGCTTTTCTGTTCACATTCCATCCATGACATTTAAAAGTTGTTCCAATGGTTTTTTGCTTTATTTTTGTAAAGATGACATTCTTTTCTGCCCCAGTAAATACAAACCAAAACATCCTTGTTTCTGCTTAAGCATAAATTGGAAGTGAACTTTTTGCAAGTATTAAAGATACAACATAGAGGAGACCAGTGTGTCCTGCTGCCTTTTTTGACAGAGCATGCAACAGTACCTCCCTCGATATAGGAAGCTTTTGTTGAAAGATGGCTGTGTCCGACTTTAAATGGTAACATCTTAGATAGAAAGCAGCAGCTTTCAATATGGGTCCAAAAGTCTCTAGTGAAGGGTAGATTAGCTGGCCATCAATCCAAAATCTTAGGGGGTTTGAGAAGATATGTTTCTTTTTCTCCCAGTTGCATATATGTTTTAAAGCACTTCTCAAAAGCTGCAAAAACCTTTACCATATATTAAAAATGCAAAAATAAATTAACCTCCCCCAAAGCAGAAAAGAAAAAATCCCAAAATAGTTGCAGAACTCTACCCTCAGCTTATTCCTTTCTCCTCAAAAGCCTGGGAAAGGAGATATGTTAAAGGCAACTGCAAGGCATAAACTGAATTGGGCTATTTTGGACTGAAGGAATCAATTCCAAAGCCCGTGGAAAATGTCCTGTCAGCAGATAAAATACCTCTCAAACTAAAGGGTCTGCAGTTGTCATGGAAATGCTTATGCTGTCACAAATTCACCTTGGCTGTGTTTACACTGGGCCACTTATTCCGGAAAATCAGCCGCTTTTCCGGAATAAGTTGCGAGCTGTCTACACTGGCCCTTGAATTTCCGGAAAAGCAACGATGTTCTACTGTACAAAATCAGCCGCTATTCCGGAAAAACTATTCTGCTCCCGCTTGGGCATAAGTCCTTATTCCGGAACACTGTTCCGGAAAAGGGCTAGTGTAGACAGCCCAGTAGTCTTTTCCGGAAAAAAGCCCTGATCGCGAAAATGGCGATCGGGGCTCTTTTCCGGAAAAGCGCGTCTACATTGGCCACAGACACTTTTCTGGAAAAAAGGCTTTTCCGGAAAAGCAGCCTGCCAATGTAGACGCTCCTTTTCCGGAAAAACTGAAAACGGAATAGTATTCCGTTTTAAGCAGTTCCGGAAATTCATGCCAGTGTAGACACAGCCCTTGTCTTTGAGATAGTTGTATGATAAAGTAGAAGGAATAGATAGAGCTTTGAGGGAGAAATGCTTCATTTAAACATGATTTATTTTATAATTAGCAAAATAAAATATGAAAAGGAGAAAAAGCACTTTTAGGAGGGACACATTTTCTTATGTAAGAGATCAAACAGAATCCAATGAAGTAAGGCATTCAGCCCTGCAGTCATCCCACATAATAATAATTGTTTTGTTTTTTCATTCTGATTGAAGTTACAGGGTGAGTAAGTAGATTTTGTGCCAAGCACTTAGTTTCGTGACTTATGAAGGCTGATATAAATTAAGAAGAGCTGCTATTCCTTTTTCACAGTCCATAAATTTGTTACAGGAAAATATTTAAAAGAATTGTAGGTTTTCATCTATCCAAACTGGATTTCAATCCACATCTAGACTCTTTGGGAATAAAGACCTTTATTTTATACAAAAGTAATGATATGCAAAACATCTCTTACAACTCCTACAAAAGTGAAGTATAAGCAAAAATATCAATTATCACCTGTACTCATAACTTTACAAAAGCATTTATCAGTTATATTGACTGCCCAATTGCAGTTATATTAGTCTCTTGCAAACAAATGAGACCTACTGTGTATTGTCATATTTATTTTAAAAATCCTATCTCCATAACCCCTAAGTAATCTCTTGTTTCCAAAGAGATCTTTTAAAGGAACAAAACACTAAATATTTAGATACCATCAGCAACCTAATATTAAATAATATTACACAAAAGATAGAATTGCATTACAAATTTCAACTATATATTTCAAATTTATTAGAAAGGCAAAGTATCTTAAAAATAAATTTTGTTATTCCCTGGTCCCTACAGCTAGAACTATAGCACTGTCTACAAACTTCTATAGTTAAGAATACTTAAATCAAACAGCTGTTTTCTGGTATTATAGTCTACTAGCTGAATCCACTTCACTGAGCCATCTGCACCACAACAGCTTTCCAGGCTTTGTCTTTGTCAAAATCCTTTATGGTATTATTGGAAACCTACAAGCAAACAGGTTTCAAACAGTATTTTAGTTAATGATTAAGGCAAATAAATATGTAGGAGAACACAGAAATATATATGTGGGCTAATTCATTAAAACATGCCATAAAATTGTTTTCTATTTTACATGTAATTTTTGTTTTTTATCCTGAAGAATCTTAAAACAATCCTAGAGTATCACTGGAATGAAGCCACACTAAGGTCAAGGATATCAACCCACAGACACACAATACATTGCCAAGAGTAGCTAGTATTGAAATTCTGGCCAAGGACACTTGGAAAAGTCCCTTATGTTTAATGAAGTGCCATAAAACCTTTAATATCCATGCACGCAGATTCATGGATTCCAAGGCCAAAGGGTTCATAGTGATATATAATCTGACCTCCCATATAACACAAGCCAGGGAACTTTTGAACTTGAGTGCACATTTTTACAAAAAATCTAATCTTGATCTAAAAATTGCCAATAATGGAAATCCACCACGAATCTTAGTAAATTGTTCCAGTGGCTAATTACCTTCACTGTTAAACATTTATACCTTATTTCTGGGCTGAATTTGTCTACCTTGAACATCCAGCCATTGCATCCTGTAATTTCTTTGTGTTCTAGACTCAGGAACTTATAGATCCCAATGTAGATACTTAAGACTGTAGTCAAGTCACCACTTAAAACCTTTTTGTTATGTGAAATAGATTGAGCTATTATAGTCTATCAGAATAAGACATGTTTTCTCCTCCTTTCTCATTGCTCTTCTCTGAACCATCTCCTATTTATTAACATCTTTCCTCAATTTTGGACACCAAAACTGGACACAGTATTTCAGCAGCAGTCACATTACCAGTACCAAATAAAGAAATAAAATAACTTCTCTATTCCTACTCAAGGCTTCCCTGTTTATGCATTCAATGATCCTATTAGTCCTTTTGGTCAGAGCAATGCACTACTTGCTCATGTTTCAATGATTTTTAACCAAGAAACCAGCAGCACCCTTAAATGAGTTCAACTATGATGAAACCTCAAGAAATTGCTTGAGAACTAAACATAATTGGTGGGTCTACACTACAGAGAAGATCGAAACTGCCACTGTCGATCTTCTAGGGTTCAAATTAGTGACTCTAGTGCAGATACGCTAATTTAAACTGATAGGGGCACTCTGATTGATGTCAGTAGTCCTGCTTCCACGAGGAGTAAGGAAAATCAAAGCAAGAGTGTTCTCACATCAACTTCTTTCAGTGTGGACAGTGCCAGAAGTTGAATTAAGGTACTTTGACTTCATCTACGCAATTAACATAGCTGAAGTTGCATATCTTAATTCCACCTTATGCCGTAGTGTAGACATACCCTCTGAGAGTAGTGCATGTTCTCAGGGCTGCCAAATCGAGGTGGAGAGAGACAAAGGTATAGCTGCCCTGGGGTTCAGCAATTTAAAAGGGCCTGTGGCTCCTGACCACTGCTGCAACTGCAGCAACAGCAGTTGGAGTCCTAACCCCTTTAAATTGCTGCTAGAGCCCCACAAGGTGTGCTCCAGGCATCCCTGAAGGGCTGGCTGGGGGAGGGTCAAGCCAATCCCACCTCTTCTGCCTGAAGCCTCTCTCTTTCCAGTTGCATGGTGCTGTGTCCCTTCCCATCTTGCCCCAGGGCCCATCAAGTCTATAAAAGAGGCAGCAGCATGGGAGGACGGGGCTCCACCCAGCAACATCTCCTGCCTGTCCCCCATTGATGCCTCCATGGGAGGCAGCGGGGGGGTAGGGGGGAAGAGGCAAGTGGCTCACGTGAGCCAATACATGTGGGAAGCTGGCTTGAAAGCCGGCTTCCTGCATGTACCGACTCCCACATGCCCCCTTCACAATCTGCACTGCTGCCTCTCTATCGGGGGGGAGGGGGCAGGGGCTCCAGTGCTTGTGGGGAGCTGACTTAAAAAAAGCAGTGTGGGAGGGGCGATACAAAGGCAGTAAGGGGAGATGCATATAGTTGATAAGATTAACTGATAAACCCAGGATTATTGGTTAATCGTGTGTTCGACTACATGATGACATCCCTACTTTTAAGGGGAGTAAGATGCCCAATCCAATTTCAGCTAACAGTGCCCCTTCTACTCTATCCTTCAGAGAATACAATCAATGAGGCTTCCGGGAGAACCTGCAGAAGGTGGTTAATAATAAAACATTTTATTAATGTAATAGCTATTACCTATTTTATTCATAACGGGGCAGACCCCATGTATTCAGGCAAATATACGTCGTTGAGCAAACAAAGTTCTCAGATGAGGAGCTCAGCAGGCCTCAGGACAAACTTAGAGCTTGCAGAATCCAATGGGGTACATTACACTCACCATACAGATTTATTTGTTCCCCCAAAAGCTTATATAATCCTTCTATACTAATTTTAATTAGCACCAAAATCTCATACATACATTCTCATACTTGGCTCACTCTTAATTCTAAGTCCTAATATGTTCAATTTTTTATTAATAGAAACAGACACCAAAAGAGGACATTTATCTTTTTCTTTGTAATTTTAGTGAATTTGCTTGTGAAAGGTGCCAAATTGACAGACCTGAAGATTACTGTAGTGATAAAGGACTAGCAAATGCAGTTCAAGATTCTTTAACATTCTCAACCATAACCTTGAGTGATCAGAGTATAGAGTTAGTCACAAACGGATTTGATCCTTAGCTTCTCAGCTCAGGCTTCTAATGAAGGTGCCAGTATGAAGCGGGACAGGGAGAGTTTGGTTTGGGTTCTTTTTGCTACCAACAGACAGAAGTGGATTCTCTGTCACTGGCAATTCTTAAATCGAGGTTGGATGCTTTTCTAAAAGATATTCTCCAGTTTAACCACAGCTATTGGATTTAAAGCAGAAATTAATTCAGGGAAGTCCTATAGCCTAGGATCAGACTAGACGATCAAGGGTCTTTTCTCATCTTAAAATCTATAAAGGTAATACAGGAAATATATAACCCATGCAGGAATAGATCCCAGACCCTGATCTTAGTAATGCATGTCAATCTTAAGATCTTTCTTCTTCTCAAGCGAACAGTTGGCCTTACCCATAGAAGAAATGTGCAGGGCTAATGGCTAGAAATAACAAGCATTTTACTTATAAACTGAATAGTTCATTCTGGAAGTAACTGAGAAACAATAAACACATAACCCAGTAAATCATTTTACAGTGATTCTTCATAAGTGTTACCACGCTTTAATGATTCTGTTACCATTATCAAGTTATCTCTGTCAATTTAAAAAAAACTAGTACTGTACTGAGTGTCATAATTTAACCAGGAAAATAAGTCATTCAGGATGAAATTCATCCTTAGCATGAATAAATACATCTCTTGCACTTTAGAGGGCAAATTTAAGTGACAAAATGGAAATAAATTACTCAAATATTACAGACCATCATTCATGAATTATAATTATTATAAAATTATAGTCAGATATTACACACTTACCTCCATTGTTCGGTATTCCTGTTTATTAATTTGTGGCATTGCCCAAGATGAATCATGCAGCTTCATTTTTGTCTTGTAACTTACACATTGGATGACAGTGCCAATGGTAAGGAATGCCTGAATTAACAGCATCAGCATCAGAAGTAATAGAAGTATATCATAAGATTGCTAAAAATAAAAATGTATGTAAGTTGTTTAGGTATTTAACTATCATACCTGTCTTTTCTGCCTTGTATCACTTCATATTTTTTGGCGTTCTCCCATTGTTTACATGTGTCAGTATGACACCTGGTTCTTCCCTCTATCTGACTGATGAAATAATTTGTTGTTTTGGAAAACTAAAATGAACTGAAAAGCCTTGAACACTAGGGATGTAAAATCCTGTATAATTTATTAACTGATTAAATGTAACGTTTAACAAGTTAAATAATTAAATGGAGGTGAGCGAGGGGGCGGGGAGGCATTCCAGCAGAGTGGCTCCCATGCCACAGGCAGGGACTGCTTTGGCCCAGCTGTTTCTGACTCTGTGCTGGGCTGTTGGCTCCCAGCTCACATGGGCTGAAAGTTGGCAGCCTTGTGCAGGGCTGGATTGCTGCTTCTGCTCATGGGCTGAGAGCTGTCAGCTCCCGTCCACGCGGCCACTTCTGCCTCTCCCCCACATGTGAGGCTTCCAGCTCCAGCCTGCAAGCCCCTGTGGGCTGAGCGCCAGGGAGGCTGCTTCTGAGGAACAGTTAACTGTTACCTGATAAGCATCACCCATTAATGGGCGATGCTTACCAGGTAACTGGTTAATGAGTTACCCGTTCACATCCCTATTGAACAGAGATGGGTGGAATTTGTTAGTTTTGGTTTATAGTGATTTGTAGATCATTCACTTTCAGTTCACATATCTTTGACTATCTGGGTATGAAGCCCTCAGGAAACTTCAGCTGATGCAGAATGTGGCAGTACATTTCCTCAGCAACACAGGCTACCAGAGTCTGCAAACTATTCATCTTTTCCCCCAAACCAAGCTGTGAATAACTGAAGTATTTACAAATAAACATTTAGCATACTATCCCACTGTGCCATTTATAGCAAGACATCCTAGAAAATTATTTGAAAGAAATTATTCTTCATGTAATTAAGACCTGTGCGATACAAAATTGGTATCCGTATCTGCATCTGCAAAAATTGTCCACAGATATCCATATCTGCAGATACAGATACCCGCAGATGTAAAGTGGATGGATATCTGTGGATTTGCAAGGCTCTACATGTAAGGGTTAGAACTTTGAAGTTTGTTTGCTACAATTTCATGAATACTTGCTGAGCTGTTACAAAAAAGATCTATGGAATTTAAATAAAAATAATTACATTACTATAGATTATTTTAACCATTCTATAGTATTTAATGGAGAACTATAATCTTTTTATAGCCTTCTATGAGATGGTTCATGATAGCTATAGAAAGGATAGTTTTAGAAACTAATTTAGGCTTTTAAAATAATTTCCAAAATATTTTATTCATTCTCCATAATACAGCACTCTATCTTCTCATGATAAATAATTCATAATACTCTTTATTTACTCCCTCTGAATTGCTAATTAGTGGATTCTAATTTTTCAAAAAAGTAAAATATTTACTTTAACTGCTGGTGGATAATTTTTAAAGATGTCAATAACTCGCATGATACTGAAGGATAAGTATCCAGAAGCTGTGAACAACAATGGAGAAGTGACACTGCTTATGGCAATCAGGACCTCAACCTAGTAAAACAAGATATTACACTTTAAGATGTTAAACTTGTGTTAAATAAATAAAAATAAGAGTAAATAACATTGGTTCTTGATCCCACTTCTGCATATATGATTGTCTTAAGTGTGGCTGCCTGGGTCTAACTGAGAACAAAATTTGGACTCAGAGATGATGTGGCAGACCCATTTTGTGTCTCTGCTGACTCTCCTTTCCACCTCTATTGAAATTAATATCAACAACATCCGCTGAAATATCCAGTACAAATAAACATTTTGCACATTTGAATTAATTAAAAGCTATTTTGGTTAATGCACTAATAGTATGTAGCAGAAGGAAAGCTGACTGAATTCTCTTTCAGTACAGTGAACTTTAAGTACTTTGTACAGAACCAAGCACATAATTGGCCTGCTGGTCTCCATTCCAACATCATTAATTGAGTATTCCACGGTATACCCTGACATCCATTTTTGTTCTATTTAGCATATAAGTTTTTATGGTCACTTTACAGTGGACAAATATTAGTTGTGCAATTATCACCAAAGAACTTTATTCATAATATTCCATTATAACACAATGTCCAAACAATATACATATACTTACCAAGCATTTACTTGGATATTCAGCAGCTACATGACTTGCAATAGCACTTGGAAAGCACTGAAAAGAACACCAAGACATAAGAAAACATTAAGAACTAGACCCTCAGCTGGTGTAAATTGACATAGCTTCATTTAGGGTACGTCTACACTAGCCTCCTACTTCGAACTAGGGAGGCTAATGAGGGCGACCGAAATTGCTAATGAAGCGCGGGATTTAAATATCCCGGCCGGTCGCCATTTTGGAAACCTGAGGTTTAACTGTTAATTCGAACTAAGGGGTTTATCTCGGAATTGCGCTTCTCTGCCGCATGTAGACGCGGGCAGTTACTTCGGGCTAGTCAGTTTCCAAAATGGTGACCGGCCGGGAATATGCTAATCGAGCGCGGTATATTTAAATCCCGCGCTTCATTAGCAATTTCGGTCGCCCTCATTATCTTCCCTAGTTCGAACTAGGGGCTAGTGAAGACGTACCCTCACTTGCAGTGGAGTTACATTGATTTACATTAGCTGAGAATCGAGTTCTCAATTTTCTTCAAATAAAGTGAAACCATATATAATTAATTGTATAACACTGTATTGGCAACACTTATGGTGCTAATTTAATGGGGAGAAAAATTATTTCAAAAACTCTATTGATATTAATGGAGTGTTTTGACTATTAAATCTATACATATTAGTGAGGTAAATTATCCTCTCACAGGCCTGCTCATGTCTGTAACTGGGACAGTCACTTAATCAAGATGATAAACTAACAATGGCATCCTACATATTTCCCTGTATTGAAATTCAACCCAGATACTAATGTTGCAGCCTGAAGGATGATATTTTTAAAAATTGACATGTTTAGTAAAGAATACCCCCTTAAAAACCTTCTTTTATTATTGATTTCAGTGGCAATTTTACCTAAATAAGGCACTGACCTCCTAATAAAGTGTTGTAAATCAAAAAGAGAAGACACATTACATAATCTAGTACTACAGGTTGGACCTTGCTGGTCCAGCACTCTCAGAACCTGACTGGTCCCAAACAAGGGGATTTGCTGAACCAGAGGAGGTCCCTCCCTCATGACCCATGTTGCCACTGGGCTAGGGCTCCTGCCTGCCCCACTGCTGCCCCAGTCCCCGGCGGCTGTAGCTGCCACCAGCCCCAGTGCTGCCAGGGTAGGAATGTAAGCGACTAGTCGATTGTCCGATAAGTATAAGCTTATCGGACAGTTTACCAGTCCCTCAACTAGTCGCTCCCCACACCTTGCTGCCTCTTTTAAAGAGAGGCAGTGAGGCAGGGGAGCAGGAACCAGTGCTGGGGGGAGCCGGCTTAAATGCCGGATTCCCCCAGCACCATCTCCATGCGGGGCAGGAGGTAGTGGGGACCGGGCGTGAGCTGGGAATCAGCTGATTCCTGGCTCAAGACCAGTCCCAGACTCAGCGCCTCTGCTTTTAAAATGTATCAAGAGCCTACCAGCTCTTAATACATTTAAAAGGCTGGTGCGCATCGGGGGTGGGGGAGACCCGGCACGAGCTGGGAATCAGCTGTCCCAACTTGCATTGGGTCCTTCTCTCCCCCATTCTCCACTGCATTTCAGCTTTTAAATGGCTCTTAATACATTTAAAAGGCAGAGCTGCAGCAGGGTTAGCTCCTGAGTCTGGGAGCTAACCTCGCTGTAGCTCCACTGTTTACCGACTAATTGACTAGTTGATGGAAATTGCATCGACTAGTCGATTAGTTGATTAAACGAAATTTAACATCCTTGTGCTGGGGTTGGAGTGCCACAATTGCAGCTTTGCAGCCGCCTGGCTCCAAGGCCGAGTCCAGAGTTCCGCAGCCAGGGCTAGAGCTCTGCGGTTGGGGCCAAAATTCCCTGGCTGCCGCGGGGGCTGGAGCTCCCTGGCCGCTGAGGCCAAGGAGCTCCACTAGGGCCTGAACTCCCACCATGCTGCTCTACCCTCTCCCGTGACAATGGGCTTCCAGCTGAGTTACTGGTCCCTCTTACGATACTCCTGCCCTGCTGCCAGACCTCTCTGTTCTTGGGCTCTGTGCCAGACCAGGGAGTCCAGGTTAAGAGAAGTACAAGGGAGGTACAATCTGTATAATTAAAAAGTGTTAATTTTAAAGCAGTGGTTGTAAATTATTTTGAAAGCCAAATAATTAGCTTAGAGAGACATTGTATACAAGACTACATTTAACTGTGAAGTACTTACAGCCACTAAGATCCAAAAAAATGTTACTGAAAGGTATGGACCTGAGATTAACACATCCATATTCAAAGCAATGATTCCACCAAAAACTGCAGAAATTCCAATAATGATCTCAATTACCTACAAAAATTTAGAGCACCAAAACAATTAGCAATGAATTTGACTGTTGAGTTTTTATAGTCATTTCAGTTGCATAAGTAGGTTGACTCATATATGTTTATAAAAGCATGTCTGGCATAAGAAATATTTGAGGTCTGTCCTATGCTCATGAAAGACTCTGGCAAAACTCCCTTTAGTTAAAATGGAACAAGATTGTCCCCATGTTTACATTTTTATTTAGTGTTTCCAATAAATAATATAATGTCATGGCTGCAACTATTTTTCATTTAGTCATCAAGCAGACTTTTCCCTCCTATTTAGTACAGTTGAAATTTATTTTGAAACATCAAAGCATATCTCATGCCCATGTTGATACATTATAAGCCTATTCCTGAAGCTGTTACACACAGAACTCTCACGGGCTTTAAATGAATTCAATATGTAAAAAGAGGAAAGAATAAATTCATACATCTCAAGAAAACAAAGCTTTTCTTACTGAATACGATTTCAGAATTCGAGTAGGAAAGCTGACATTGTTCAAAACACTGGTGCTGTCATATATGGTACTCTACGGATAAAAAAGAAACAACATGGTCTGAAAAAGTATGCAGTTTAATAAGGAGCAGATTGTGGCCTGACTCTACACAATGTAAGGGGCATTCAGGCCTATCCCTCCAATAATCTGTGTGATCTATCTACATCTTGGCTACAAGGATGTGGGAAAGAACATGTGTTCCATGACCTGCTCCCAGGAAATGAGTAGACCAGTGTTTCCCAACCGGGGTTCTGCGGACCATCATCATTTTTTCTAGACTTGTAATCATTTATATTGCTCTTCTGTGGCCTTTTTCCAATTTGTTCTTCTTTCCTGAAATGTGGTACATAGAACTGGACACAAAACTCCAGCTGAGGCCTCATTCCCAATCCCATTTGCCTTCTTGGGCTGAGTGTGTGCTGCCCTCCCAGTAGTTTCAGCCTTTAGTGGCCTGGTAAAAGTGGAAATCAAGCCACAGCTTGCTATAGACCTTTGCCTAAGAAACAGCATTACCACTCAATTATAAGATGGCATGCATATTGGGCCACTTTCCCACACACAACAGTGAAATTAAAAAATTTTAGTTCTTAAGGTAAAACCTACTTTCTTCCTCCTGAAGCAGTCTTCATTAGACCGAGCTGAAATGATCACAGTAGTTGCCATGAAGATTTCCAGCAGAATTAGCAGAATCAAGTTGAAATTTATCTAACAACAGAATCCCACATCAAACTGCATTAAATAATTCATATTTAACCATAACTGTCTATACAATTGTAGCAAACTGTTGACCTATGATTAATAATTTCCCATTGTTCTTTCATGTCTGTCCTGCCTTTTGTATTATCAGAGTTACACCTTGTCTCTGACATATCTTGTATACCATGCTTCTTTGAAGAAAATCAGAATAGGCAGATTTGAGAGGCTTTCTTTTGGGCACTGAAATTGATCTCTCATTGTGTCATGTTTAGATTTAGGCATCTTCTGATCCTTGACACTTTCTAGGGAAAGTGGCAGCATGAAGAACAACCAAAGAATAAAGATACTATTTAACTAAAGTAACTTCATATTCAAAATCAGAAGCAACCATCCTTTTATCTATGCACATTAAAAGATTTATTCTAATATACAAGTTAAAGAGCTATTTTTAAACATTAGAAGAAATCCTCACCAAAACTATCAACTGCTCTTAAAATGCTTTATCTGGCTAAAGAGTGTTTCAAATCTTTTATTGATTTAGGAAAGAATTTTAGAACCACATGAATGCTCTGCTCCTGATTCTCATCTGTAGCTGAGGAGCATGCAGTGCCACGTGGAAGAAGGATCAGTTTCCACCAGGGTTGGGCTCAGTATAAATCAGAGCTGCCTGAAAGTGTGTCTAATTTGTATTGATTGCCAGTGGACCCAAAGGACTGATATAACAGCCAGAGAGTGCCAGAATGCAAGGAGATCCCAGTCACACACTCTCTCTTGGCCACTCTCCTTATGCTAGCAGCTGAGGAAAAGTATGATGCTATAGGCAGATTCTTTGGATATGTTTACGCAGCAAACCTGAGACTGGCCTGTGCTAACCAACTTGGGCTTGTGAAGTTTGGGCTCTAAGGCTGTTTCATTGCTGTGAAAACTTCTGGGCTAAGGCTAGAAACAGAGCTCTGGGTTCCTCCAGTCCCACAGGGTGCTAGACACCAGCTCCATACCAAGCCTGATCACTGTGAGCCCAAATCAGTTAATACAGGCCAGCCGTGGCTATCTAGTTGCTGTGTAGACATACCGTTTGTCACCAGTAGATTCCCTTTCACTGGGATAATCCTAAAATTACTGGCTATCCTGACTTCAGGGTTATTTTGTACTACAAAAGCATCACAAAGCAGCCATGGCACCGCCTGGAATCTGGTTCACATATTTAACATTTACAACATTTTTAAAAAGTTATCTATGAAGCTGAGTAACATTGTTGGAAAACAATAACAAAGGCCTTCCACAAATGGTGTTATTTTTAAATCATAAATTGCTTTGATTTGAACAGATATTTTACATTTTATAGGTCCAATATCCTCTAAATTATTAGCAATGAACTCATGTCAGACTTATGACTAATATTTCCTGTGCAGATTCTATGAACAGTATAATGAATCAGAGATATTATTATGGTTATGAAACAGGCAAGTAGGGATGTTGCAGTAAACTATTTACCCATGCACTAAAGTCTGTTTTACTACGTAGCCACTGCAAAACAACTGTAAAGGTGACATAGCTGGCCTTGGGAGGATCACTTCAGTGTAAAGAGATCCTCCAATAGTACAGAGCAGGATCCGTCCAGGATCAGAGAAGCACAAAAATGCTAAGCTAAGGATCTGGGCCACAGAATCAATATGCAATATATCTGTTTTCAGGTATCTTGGAACAGGACAGTCTGCCAGAGAAGAGGATATGGGAGAGTGGGGAACACATCTAAGGTTTCCTCCATTATCTCTTCTTCCTCATCAAGCAATAAAAGAGGCTGTAGTATTGTAAAATGGGCTTCTCTGAAGCACTCCTGTAGAAGAGAATAGGACTTCCTCCTGGATCACAGTTCTGATAGAGGTCCATATTTTATAGAACATCCCAGGACCACTAAGACCACAGAGGGTAGTACATCCTTTGCTAGTCTTAATGTGAGGTTCTGCTGTCTCTACAACAAAATGCATAGGGTGACAAACCTCAGTAAGAATATCAGCCTTTCATGTAACTCTTCTAAGTAAGTGGAGGAGCAGTTCCTGTCAATGTATGCAGGGGTCTAGGTAATGGGCACACCTACTGCTGATCCTATAGCATTGAGAAAGAAAATATCTAAAGGAGCAATTGGACGAAGCACAGTGGTACATTGAAAGTGGAATTGGAGCTAGCTGTACCAATGGTGTCAGCAAAGCCAGCAGTGCCGAAATGGAAGGATGAGGAGACAAAGACATCAATGTTGCCATGAATTATGCCGACAATGCTAATGGCAGTGCTGAGTATTGCAACAGCAGCTCTGCAGGTATTCTACTGCTAAGAAGGCCTGCAGAGTCAAAGGTAAGTGCATAGTAGACAGTGCCATCAGTCCCCAGTTTGTTGGATGTAGAAAACACAAACATGGTAAAAGTGAAAACCCCAGTCTGAATGGCCCTGGGGAAGCAAGAGCTAATACTGCTGCATCAAACAGTGCTGGAGAAGGTTTAAGCTTGTAGTTAAGCTGTGACTCAGCACCAGGGAATTTACTTGAGGGCTTCTTGTGAGGCAAAGACTGGGACTGGGAATGTCCTTCAGAGTTGGTGTTTATGATTTAGAGCCGGTGGGGCATGCCTACTCAATGTGGAATCTGATTTCTAGTAGTCTAAGTCCAATCCTAATACAGGACATATTGACTCCTTCATTAGATGTATCTTGAGGCAAAAATCTCTTTTTTTCATTCTGGTGGGAACAAGGTACAAATAAAGTATTTGTTTCTAACAAGCACCTCACCAAGGCAGATGGAGTAGCTTTTGTGTCCATCCTAACAGGGTAATGGACATTGATCCTTTGGCGAAGTGTCTGAGACGTTTGTCCAATGTACATAGCAGACGTCTGCTATGTACTTTGCCAAAGGATCAATGCCCACAAAACAGATATTAGATAGGATCACAAAGAAAAAACAGTTTCTTGCCATTTCAGCCAGAAAGGACAATGACTCAACCACTTAATTACCTGCATCCTACTCCAGAAGCCTTTCAAATCTGCACTTGAAAGGGAATCTTCTGAACTGTCATGCATGCTAAGATTCAACACTCTACGTGTCGGGCTCAACAAAGACACCAACTACCTTACCCATTACAAAGATAGCTTCCCCAATTATCACCTCTAATACTATTAACTCACAGACATCTACCCTTCCCCACCTCTAATATCATTAACTCACAGGCATTCACCTTCCTTCTCCCCTCCTGCATCCTCCTTCTGTTCTGAAATGTGATTTGTCCTTTTCATGTGTGTTCCCTTTTTTTTAATTGTATCCTTTGGTATATATGGTTGTGACTATTTTCTTCCACTATTTGATCTGAGGAAGTGGGTCTGGCCCACGAAAGCTCATCATCTAATAAACCATCTTGTTAGTCTTTAAAGTGCTACATAGTCCTATATTTTGTTTCAGCTACACCAGACTAACACGGCTACATTTCTATCACTATAACTCCATTAACTCCATTACAAACTACTAATAAATTAACTATAGCTATTTAGTATAGACTATAAAGGAGTAATTTTTCAAAAGCTGAAAAGCCTAAGCAAAAGCTATGGGGAGCTTCAACTCTTGTCATGCATGGTGAGAAGGAATTGAGAGGCAGTCTATGGACCCCCTTTTACACCACTGGCTTAGTGCACAAGGACACATGCATCCCTCTTGTACTGATGTCAACAGTCTCCAAATAGAGTGCTCTGGGCATGCATATACCTGCAATAGAATGTATATGTACATAATCACTTTAAAGAATTTAGGGCTAAAGATCAAAATTTTCAATTGTAGGTGTCTAAATTTAGGCACGTATATTCTAGTTATCTGATTTTGAAAAGTACTAAAATAAATATTCAGAGTTGGTATTAATTTCAGAGGTCTGTGCCTCTGAAAAATCAGAGCAGTCAGAATATTTTTGAGGTTAAGTTTTATATACTATTACTACTACTACTGCTCCACTATAACTCCACTTAAGCTCATCTGAAGAAGGGGGTTTTACCCACAAAAGCTCATGATACTATATATTTGATCGTCTCTAAGGTGCCACAAACTACACATTGTTTTTAAAAGGAAAAACTTAAAAAACAAAAAATAGACTAGTAGCACCTTAAAGACTACGAAAACATGAGCTTTCGTGGACACAACCCACTTCTTCAGATGACAGGAGTATTAGAAGTGTATTAGAATAAATAAAGTTACAGACTAACATGGCTACCCCTCAAAGGGTACGGCTAGATTGCACAGTTTTTTCGGGATACTAGAGGTATCCTGGAAGAACCGTTCTGCATCCAGGGAACGTGTTTGCTCTTCCACTTTTTTTATGGAAGAGCAAACGTGCTCTTTTGGAAGCCCCTTATTTCTCATTCCACAAGAAATAAGGGGGCTTCCAAAAGAGTTTTTTTTCCCAACTTTTGTCCCCGGCTAGATGGGCCAAGTGTCGGAAAAGCCTCTTCTGACAAAAGAATTGGAAAAAGCTATGCAAAATACGGAGCACATTTTGCGTAGTTTTTTCCAAAAAACCAGTATAGTCTAGACATAGCCTGAGAGTTTTATATTTCTCCTACTAACAGCTAATTTTTATACAGTGTTCTTTGTGCAAAGATCTCAGAGCAATTTACAATACTATGTCAAATCAATTCCAAGATACACAGTCTGGGTGCTAACTGGCAACGATAAAACATTCATTTTCAATTTATTTATGTTTTTATTTATATTAATGGCTTTCTATAATATTTTTGAAATTTCTAGCAGGTAGCCACAAAGGAAAGATATAACAATTTAGCAACATTACCTTACATTAGTTCCTGAGATACCATATGTATTTTCTTTTCTAGATATAGGGAATATTGTATGAATTTGATACCACTATATTTTAGCTGTTTTGTATGTTGACTTTTTAATGGTGATTGCTGAAAGTAAAAACAATTCTAATCTGAATGAATTCTTCTTTGGTTGACTGTTGTCAACTTTATTGACTGCACGTCAGTTAACCAGTGAAGAACTGGCGAAGAACTCCAAAAAATGTTTGTCATAAAAGGCTTTGGTAAAACAAAAAAAAAGCAATCTTGTAGCACTTCAAAGACTAACAAGATCTTTTATTAGGCGATGAGCTTTTCACCTAATAAACTATCTTGTTAGTCTTTAAAGTGCTACATGACTGCTTTTTTTGTTTTACCAAGATCAGACTAACACTGCCACCTCTCTGTTACTGGAAAAGGCTTTGTGAAGGTGACCTGTCAAAGAAGAAAAAGAGAACCTGAAGGAGTAATCTACTAAAAAAACAAAGTCTGGGACCTTTCCTCAAATTCCAGCGTTGTTTAAAAAAATTAACATTTGGCTAATCTGAAGATGTCCACCGAGTCAGCTTTTGCTTTCTCTTCTGATCTCTCTCTCTGAGCATTATTCCAGGAGGCAAATGCTAGAGAAACTTCCATTTAATCAGTTTGAAGGCATGTGTGAGGACTAATTAAAAAATCTGGGTACACAGACCTCTAAAGGAAGACAATTATCATTTGTGTATGTTTTTCTTCCCAGTTAATTGTACACTTTCACCCATATAATGTGTATAAGCGTCTATAACAGGTAATCTTTTCTTCTGAATAGGGAACCGATTTACAGAGACAAAGATGATGATCTAACGATATCCTAAACTTGGGTGATGCATAATGGAGGTTAAGTCTCCTCTATCTTGTGCTGCTTGGGAGCAGTGGTGGATTACAACATATGGGACCTGTGCCCAGGGACCTTGGCCAATTTGAGAGCCCCAGAAAAATCTTCCCCACACCATGCCCCCGGGCTAGGAGTTTTTCTGGTTTTGGGGTCTCATCAGAGGAGCAAGGGGTGGAGCCCACATGAGAAAGGGATGGAAGAGCTCTGGGCTTGGCGCTCCAGCCACGGCCAAGATCTCCACCGCAGTTTCAGATGAGATAGAGAGTTTGGCCCCAGCCAGAGCCAAGCTCTTAGCCCCCATCCATGGCCTTGATTGAGCTCTCACCCGCCTAATCGCCCCTCTCAGGGCCATGGTGGTGAGGAGGAGGGCTCTCTGCCTCACCCCATGCAGTGAGAGGGCTTAGTGCAGCAAAAGGGGTGGAGCAGGAGGTTAGCTTTCCAAAGGGGAAGCGTCATCCGCTATCCATGATCCTACATCCAGCAGACATTCCCCTCCTCCCAAAGATCATTGGGTGGTGCCAGTTAAAAACAGTGAATCCTATACCTTCCATTTATTTCAGCTGCCAGCACAAAGAGTGTGGGTGGGTTCTCCTATCATTCCTGGCTAGCAAATGTTCATTGACCTCAGCTGAAAATATGGCCCAAGATTTGATCTTGTGTGAGACTCAGAACCCTACATAAAATTTGTTTTGAATAATTCCTTCTGATACATTCCATAACATGTAGGTATATGGGATCAAATTAATCCCTGTTATAACTGCATTGACTGCAAGAAAATCACACTAGGGATGATCTTGGTCAGTAATGTGTTATATAAAGACCACAGAAAAGAGGTCAAGAAGGAATTTTCCCCTAGATTAGATTGACAGAGACTCTGGGAATTTTTGCCTTCTGCAGCGTGGGGCATGTGTCATTTACAGGTTTAAATTAGACTAAATGATGGATTCTCTGTAACTTGGAATTCTTTTTAAAAAATAGTAACTCAGCCTGAAGCTATAGATCTCTTTTAGGAGTAGGTGGGTGAAGTTCAATGTCCTGCAATGAGCAAAACATCAGACTAGATGATCAAAATCATCCCTTCTGCCTTTAAAGTCTAGAAGAAAGACAAATACAGAGTTGACTGACATTTTTTTCATAACTCACATTTATTGCCGATGGATTAAGGACAAGTTTGCATCCAAACCATATTAAACACGTTGTTGTTACAGCAAATGTAGAAACAAACAGAATCTGAAAATTGGGTATCTGTAAAACAATTGCAAAAATATTTTTTTCAAATAACCAATGAATAAAAGATTAATAATCCATTAAGCTCTAAACACTTACCACGTTAACTTTGTTTCTTGCTATAGCAAAACTCACAACTGCTGAAGGAATACACTAGAAAAAAAATAAATGAAGCAAAATATTAACAGAATAACTTACAAAACAAAGCATACATTTATGTTAATAATAGCAGACATGTTTCTTAGAGGGTCTAGTTTTACTTTAGCCATTTTGCATTAGAAGTGAACTAATAATAGGAGGAAAAAAGGAGAAATAAATAAAACATAAGCACATATTAAAATAATATAAAGAGTGAAAAACATGGAGATTCAGAGAAAAGGTTGCCACCCTTGTCTCAAATTCAACAATTATGGGTTGCATTTTAATATTCCAGGGAATTCAGAGCAGTAACGAACTACAGTCTCTAAGGCTGTTAAATATATGCTGCAATAGATAGGCCTTCTGTGAAAGAATAGAAGTCTTTCTGGAGACATTTCATGCCTTTGTTAGTTTAAAATTAATTCCAGCAGGCCTAAAGTTCTAAAGCAGACAAAAGAAACCCTGTGCCACTGGCATTATTTTAAACAAAGAAAAAGACAAAGTTGTTATACCTAAAAATTGACCAACTTTGATGGTGGTTCAATTCTGAATTTCTTTGTAAAATTAATCTGTGGAGTCACAAGGGGGCTGCGCCCTGTTTGCTACGCTTACCAACCCCCTTCTCTGGCCGCTTTCGCAACAAAGAGCCTGATGACACCATTCTGTCATGTGATGGGATATCTTTTCTATATAGAGAGAAACATTATCTCTTCCAAACTGTACTTGTGAGCCCCATGACTTCATTGGGGGCTGTGTTTATGAGAGGGCAAAATGTTCTGAACATCAAGTTTTACTAGGAAAAATAGTTTATATTTCCTAAAACTGTGGTTTTCAAACATGGGGATTGCAACCCAGTACTGGGTCGCACTATGTCAGGCAATGGGTCACCTTGCTATAGGGTGACCTGGTGACTAGTGGGGGTGCTAAGATAGGCTTCCTGCCTATCCTGGCACTGTGGACCAAACTCGATACCGGAAGCGGCAAGCAGCAGGTCTGGCTCCTAGGTGGGAAACGGGGGAGGGGCATGGGGCCTCCATGCACTGCTCATACCCTGAGCATTAGCTCCCAACTCCCATTGGTCAATTTCCAACTAATAGGAGATGGGGGGGGGGATAATGTGCCTGTGGGAAGGAGCAGCATGCAGAACTGCTTGGCTGTGTCTAGACTGGACAGTTTTTCCGTAAAATCAGCCGTTTTTCCGGAAAAACTTGCCAGCTGTCTACACTGGGCACTTGAATTTCCGCAAAAGCACTGACTTCCTACTGTCTGAAATCAGTGCTTTTTGTGGAAATACTATGCTGCTCCCGTTCGGACAAAAGTCTCTTTTGCGCAAAACTTTTGCACAAAAGGGCCAGTGTAGACAGCTGAGATTTGTTTTCCGCAAAAAAGCCCCGATCGCGAAAATGGTGATTGGGGCTTTTTTGCGCAAAAGCGCGTCTGGATTGGCACGGACGCTTTTCCGCAAAAAGTGCTTTTGCGGAAAAGCGTCCGTGCCAATCTAGACGCTCTTTTCCAAAAATGCTTTTAACGGAAAACTTTTCCGTTAAAAGCATTTCCGGAAAATCATGCCAGTCTAGACGCAGCCCTTGTGTGCCTCTGCCTGGAGCCAGACCTTCTGATGGCTGCTTCCGGGACACAGCATGGTCTGCAATGCCTGCCTTAGCACCTCCACTGCACCACTGACCAGGAGCCATTGGAAGTAAACCCATGCCTAACCACGAATATTAACCCTTTGCCCCAGCCCTGAGGCCCCCTGAATCTAGAGCCTCCCATGCACCCTACAGCCCTTATTTCTGGTTCCCCCACCCTCACAGCCCACACTCTAGCCAAAAGATATTATGTTGGGTCATGAGTATCAACAATTTTCTTCAACTGGGTCATGAAAAAAAAAAAATAAAGCTTGAAAACCACTGCCCTAAAAAAATATTTTCCTGAAGGCACCCTATTGTCTCCCAACTGTTCACCCTTATGATGTATGTATCTCATTTCATTCTACACATTAGGATGTTACTGCAATGTTAGAAGATATTTATAAGTAAAATAGAAAACTATTAAAATAAATGTATAGAAAATTGTTTTTATAATAAAGGAATTAATTCCACATCATCTATGCTTCCTTTGAAAAAAAAATTTCAGTATGTGGTAAATTTGCACAAAAATGTGTTTTGGAGAACACAGAATCTATTTACAAATTCAGGTCAAATATAACCCTGGGAAAAATATTTTGGAAATGTCAAAATGTTTCATTTCAACATTTGCAAAACAAACCATTTCTATATTTTATTTTGAAAAGATCCATATTTAATTTATAAAATGTCATTTCAAATTGACATTTCATTTCATAGTGTCCTTTTGAATCACCGTTTGAAACACTGTGGTCAGCCTGATTAAAATGTTTTTATCTTGTTACAGTGAGAATATAAAAAAAACATTCAAGTTGTCTCAAAACTAATTTTTTTCCAGAATTTTTTGCTCAGCAACTGAAACAAAAAATAAATTATTTTTCAGCTTTGTTGAATGAAATTTTAGCCCCACTGATGTTAAGAGGAGTTTTATCATTGACTTCAGTGGGACCAGAACTTCACCCTTTGAATTCTACATTTGAACACTTGTTTGCCAGCAAGAACCAGTGTAACAGAAGATTAGTGGCTAGCTAACATTCCTATACCATCTCTCCACCACTTAATTAAAAATTTGGCAACGTCTACACTGCAGCGCTTTTCTGAAATACTGGCGGTATCCTGAAATAGCTATTCCGCACCTTTTGAGCACGTCGGTTATTTTAAAATATAACGGGCTCGCTATTCTGACATTCTTGTAAACCTCATTCCACAAGGAGTAAGGGACGTTTTGGAATAGCAAGTTATTTCTAAATAAGTGCTGTGCAGATCGCACCAAATTTCAAAATAAGCTATTCTGAAATTGACTCAAAATAAGATATACAATTTGTGTAGCTCAAATTGCATAGTTTATTTTGAGGTACGGGTGCAGTGTAGATGCAATCTTTATAACATTGGCAAAAAAGGGAGAAAAAATTTTTAAAGGGAAAAAATGATTAAGAGTGAAAAACAATCCCTTCTCTTATCTTGGGTTAACATTAACCCACAGCCTAAACTTGCTCCTACTGAAGTTAATGGGAGTTTTACCATTGATTCCAGTGGCAGCAGGCTCAATCCTAATTTATAACATGTTGGTATTTATACTCCCTTTCTGATGCATGAGCACTTGATGCAAAACTCAAAGAAAAGAGGTAAAGTGAATCATAGAATATTTTTGTTTTCTTCCAGTTGAGCAAAAACAAAAGACAAAAACAAAGGAGGCTTACCCCTTTAAGGGCGGCCAGTCCCAAGTAAAACATTGTTGACCAAAAAAAAGCCCCCAGGGAAAAGTTGTTGCGCAAAACAAACAAACAAAAAAGGACAGGGAAAAGAAGTTGTTTAAAAAAAAAAACCAAACAGTTTGCCCTTTTATCAGGAGAGCGGGCAGTGCCCTTTTAAGGGTGGCCATTTTGAACTCTGTTCTCCATGGCTCACCTCCAATTGCCCTCACAGCACGGCAATAGATACCTGTTTGAGCGTTAAAGCATATGGTTGGCAGAACAGAACACAGCCATGGTCAGTTTTTCCTTTGGCATTCATCAACTCCATTTTAGATCTCTGTGGATCTGAGGGTATGTCTACACTACCCCGCTAGTTCGAACTAATGGGGTAATGTAGGCATACCGCACTTGCAAATGAAGCCCGGGATTTGAATTTCCCGGGCTTCATTTGCATAAGACGGGCGCCGCCATTTTTAAATCCCGGCTAGTTCGAACCCCGTGCCGCGCGGCTACACGCGGCACGGAGTAGCTAGTTCGGATTAGGCTTCTCGTGGAATGAGGAGTACAGCTAGTTCGGATTAGGAAGCCTAATCCGAACTAGCTACTCCGTGCCGCGTGTAGCCGCGCGGCACGGGGTTCGAACTAGCCGGGATTTAAAAATGGCGGCGCCCGTCTTATGCAAATGAAGCCCGGGAAATTCAAATCCCGGGCTTCATTTGCAAGTGCGGTATGCCTACATTACCCTCCTAGTTTGAATTAGGAGGGTAGTGTAGACATACCCTGATGAAGTTAGCTCAGATTTCTTTCTACATTGAAGTTCTCTGTATCCTTGTTATTTTGGTGATATATAATGATAATGTTTTTAATTTAGGGCAAGATTGATACTTTATTTTGAGTAAGGGGCAGTGTAGCTGACCACAGAAGCAGAGCAGAGAAGGGACTGTGGCTCCCTGCACTGCTGCCTCTGATACAGAGGCGGCAGCGCAGGTGGGGAGGGACCTGCATGTAACCGTGACATTTAACCGATGTTAATCGTGTACATATTTACACTTTCATATCCTTAGTGAGGAAAGTTTGAACATGACAAAGAGAGAGATAATACATTCATAAAATTATTTATTATAGTGTAAATTCTCAGACCGCCACAGCAATTAATTAAGAATGCTTACTGAACCTGCTGCACAACGTAAATAATCCATTTCAGATGGAAAAACATTTCCCAGATAAAGTGAAAATCCAGAAGTAACAAGAAGGCAAGTCTGTAAAGCAACAATATGGTATAAATTAATGTCAAAATTTATAAAAACAGCAAATGGACAGAAGAAAACCAGGAGTTTCTTTATTCAAAATAAAGTACTTTTGAATTTTTAATGACACAGTCTTTGTATGATTGATAATGAGGCAAAACATCAAAAAAATTACAGGCCATACGAACATATTTTGCTGGCTGTTAAAACAATACTGGATTGAACAAGCTAAGTGTTGTGTAATTACTTGGCAAATAAATAAAGAAATGCTTAGACGACAGTCACATCATAATTGAATTTTGGGCTGAAATAGCTTGATGGTAAAAATGAACCTGTTAGAACAAAATATAAAAGGACTCTAACTAAGCCCCTAAATTTATGCTTACAAAATTATACAAGAATGCTTTTTGGCATACAGTTTTGAACCACCAAGTTTTTACGCTATCCAAACTATGTGCAATTCAGGAATTCTGAGTGCTGAGGTTGGATAATGAAAAAAAAAAAAACCTTTTCTGTACAAAGTTGACCAATGATAAATATAAAGTATGATTTTAATTTTGTCTCCCCCTGTTATGTTTATACTAAATCCCTCACAAATATATTATTGATTTAGAATATGTGAATTATCACAGCTTTTGGAGAATTATAGTTTCACTATTTACTCAGTTTTACAGGGCAGGGTATTATTTATATGTACACGTGAAAATATTGTTATAGCCAATTTGGCCCTTGTGCTACCTGCAGAATTAAAAGCAATATGAGTTTTGTATATGCACTGGTGGAGAAAGGTAAGATACCAGTCCTTTCATCATACTGCTGCACTCTTCTTGTTTGCAGTTTTCCCTGTGAACTAGATGCATCTCAATGACCTTCACCTAAATACTCTTATAAATCATCTGTGGTTTTATGTGTTTTTTATATTTGAGACAGAGATACTGATTTTTATTATTAACCAAGTTTTACTGAATTCACAGCCTTTAGATCTTATCCAGATCCAGTTAAAGTCAAGCGTAAATTAATCATTTTTATGTAGGTGGGTGTGATGGGAAGGCTGCCCTCCTGCAGTGGCATAACAGTTAAACGCAACACTGGGAGAGGGCTGAGATTGAAGGCAGCAGCTGAGGCAAATAGCTGGCAATTAGGGCCCAGCTGGGGCTATATAAATAGGGGCTCCTAGACAAAGAGCACACATTTGCTGTGGAGCAGAAGGGAACTGGCTGCCCCCTAATACCGTCAGACCTTGAGAGCAAGACCTCACCCTGGCCAGAGCTCCCTAGCTTTGTTTGTCGTATCATAGCATTTCTCTGTCTCTGGAAGCCTTTGTAGCTTTTCTGGCAGCCGGTCCCTCCTGCTCCCCAGCTGGAGCAAGAATATGCTGTCTCCTCTCCAGGAGCCCCTATTTATATAGCCCTAGCTGGGCCCTAAGACTGTGTCTAGACTACATGGCTCCATCGACGGAGCCATGTAGATTAGGGTTGTAGGCAAAGGGAAATAAAGCGGCAATTTATTCCTCGTGGGATGAGGTTTACCGGGGCGGTCGACAAAGGGCTTTGATGTCGACCACGGAGCGTCCAGATTAGCGCGCTGAGCCGACAAACAGCTGGCAGCCATTTAAATTTAAATGAAGCGGCAATAAACAAATCGACGGAACCATGTAGTGTAGACATACTCTAATTGACTGCTACTTGTCTCAGCTTGCTGACTCCACACTCTCAGCCCCAGGGACTTTTGCTGTTTCTGACCCAGAATTCTTTATATCTGGGCCCTTAGTTAGTTCCTCTCTTCCTCTACTCCTTTCAAGAGGAAGCAGACGTTTTCTCTGTTTTCTTGGGCACTTTGAACTTGAGTTCTCTTAAACTCCATGTGCCTCTCTGCTAGATGCAGGGCCTCCTCCACAGTGGCTAGCTTTGTCTGCAGCTCTTGCACATATTCCCAGCAGTCCTTCAGCCCCTCCCCCTTGTCCGCCAAGGCCTCAGCAGAAGCTTCCTGCATCCCTGGATTCACCTGCATCTCTTCCTTGGTCCTCTCTATTTCAGATTCTTCATTTCTCTCCTACCCTGCAAACACTGCCTGCTAATGGGTGGAGAAGATCTCCCTCATGGTCCTTACTGGGCAATTCCCAGGGCCATGGACATTCCCCAATCTAGCTTTCTTAAGAGGGCATTGTCTCTTTAGGTTGCCTACTTCCTGGTACCTGAAGCACCTCTTCCTTGCCTTCCCAGTTGGGGGCCTTACTATGTCCCCTTTTTCTTCAGGTTCCTGTGGGCTAGACCTGTTTCTGCAGCTCCTGTCAGGGCAGTGCCTCTTCAGGTGCCCCTGCTTCCCACAGGCCCAACACGCCCATCACCAACCTATTTTTTTCACAGCTGGGGTTCTCTTAGACTTTCCCTTATCCTCCTAATAGGGGCATTCATTCCTTGCGCCTTCCAGTTGCCCACAGATATAGCACAGCATGTTCACTGGTATCAGGTGTCATGCCCTGTCCTCCTGCCTTCTTCCACTATGCCTGCATCTTCCCCAAATCTCTTCTCTCAACAACTGGAATATGGTTAGCTTCTGCTCCGCCACCTGGATCATTTAGGTCCATAGGTACTCATGGGTCTCGTTCTATCGCTGCTGAGCTCTCAGTAATTGCCCAAGCTGTATCCGCAGTCCTCTTTGCTGGGACTTCCTCTCCAGTGCCCAGACCATGAGCCCTCTGCTAATAGGGTTTCTCATACCTAGGATCCATTGTCCCCTGCCATTCACAATTCAGTCTCTGTTGGCACAGTTTGCCTAGTTCATACCAGTCCTCTTGTATCAGGGGTGGACTGCAACTGCCCACATTCTCCACCACGTGTAATGTGGCTGTGACTCTCTGTCACAGCACCACCTGATGGTCACTTGAGGAATCAGCTTTTCAGCCTCAGAGCACCCTCTGTTGGCGAATGTCTTGCCCTTAGTTACCTGACTCTTGCACTAGATCAGGCCCCTGTGTCCCTTCCTGTCCACAGTGTCCTTCCCTCATGGTACTGCCCTACAAACAATTCCCTTTCACTCTGGGGTACCACTAAGGTTCCTCTCCAGAAAACCCCCCAGTTGCCCCATATCCACTTGCCTCAATGACCTGCTGCCAATCATCATCTAGCCTCTGCCTAAGGGGCAAACTGCAGCCTGAAATGGCCACTCATCACTAGTTATGGGGTGGATTTGCTGCCTTCTGCTGCCCTAGTACCCTCAAGCCTTGTCTCAGGCCCTGCAGCCTGGGAATGAGGTCAGGGCAGAGCTCCCCAGCTCTGCTTGCCTTTCCCCAGCACTACTCTGTCTCAGGAAGCCAAATACCTCCTGCTCCACTGTTGGAGCAAAAGTATGCTGTCTCCTTTCCAGGAGTCCCTATTTATATAGCCCCAGTTGGACCCTAATTAGCTGCTATTTGCCTCACCTTCTTGCTCCACAGTCTCAGCTCTCTCCCTGGGCTAGATTTAATCCTTGTTAGGTGTTAGGCTAGTGCAGGAAGGGGCAAGGGAGCTGCTGCCACCCACTCACAGTGGGAATGAACTCAGACCATAGAAGATTAATGGGCCCAGTAGACCCATTTATATCCCATTATTACCTTGTGGAGTTACTTGCATGTAGGGGAGTGCAAATTCTATGACTTCCCCAGCCGAGAGATCCACATCTAGACTGCCACGCTGTGCCGGATCAGCTGATTGTTGGCACAGCATGGTGGCAATGTTTATTTTAATGAAGCGGGGGTTATTTAAATCCCCGCTTCTTTGACTATGCTGAATAAACTAATATACATGGCTCCGTCAATGGAGCCATGTAGTCTAGACACATCCTAAGACTGGTGGAAGCCAGAATGCAGCTGTAGACAGAATGCTGTAGATCAGAACACATAGAAGCATTTAGCACAGAAAAACTTAGCATGCGACTTGTATATTAGAAAGCTGGTTGTGTATGTCCCAGTTTGGGAGCCACAACAGCAAAGCATTCTGAACCCAAATTTACAGAGCAAGCAGTGACACAACCCTTCACTGATCTGGACTACCCCCCAGAATGACACAGCAAATTATTTTCTTAGACTGGTTGAAAACATGCTGAAAAAATCCAAGGAAAGAAAACCATCTCTTCTTTTGCCCATTCTGTTTATGTAATGAGCTATTTCAAGTAAACTCCAATCTCTTTAAACAAATTAATTTGTCTGAAATAGAAAAAAAGGTCAGGAACCTAAATGAAAATAAGATAATTGGCACAATGAATTAAAACCAATAAGTAAATATCCTAAAATTAAAATAATCACATTTTCTCTCATTGAAAAGTGATTCCACAAAACACAAAGGCCACCATCAAAACATCAACAAAAATACCCCAGAAATATAAGTTCTAAAAGTTATCATGTCTGTTCTTTTAGTCAATACTAGGGATATTAAATTTCAATGAATTCACTAATCATATAGTCAATGCAATCTGCATTGAATATTCGATTAATCGATAGGGCGCTTCGCCTTCAAAGGCAAAAGCGCTGCAGGGAGCCCGGGGCCAGGAGGGGATTCAAGAAGCTTTGAAATGCTGCAGGGAACCCAGCATCAGGCTGCACGTGGCGTTTCAAACCAGCAGAGCTGCATGGAGCCTGGAGTCAGCTGGGGAGTCCCCAGCTGATCCCAGGATCCATGCAGCGCTGCCGCTTTGAAATGGTGCATACCATGGGGACACACAAGCTGGCCCCATGCTGCACACAGTGTTTCAAAGCAGCAGTGCCATGCGAAGCCTGGTGTCTGGCCCAGGCTCCATGCAGCACTACCACTTTGAAACACCCCCCTCCACTCTCCCTCCCTCGCTGCCTCTTTCTGACAGAGGCAGCAGAAGGGGGGAGAGGGAAGCAACCAGTCAATTAGCCTGTCGACTATCCGATAAGCATTTGCTTATTGGATAGTTGACTAGTCATTCATGTACCTAGTCAATACTAGTCTTGACGTCAAAGACCCCTACAATACTCCTTCATGATCATGTTTTTCCAGGATTCTATCCATGAAAGTTCAATTTAAGTTGATACGAGATTTGCATAAACCCCATGGATGGCAGGATATGGCTCTCATTACTGAAAGTTTTTAGGAAACAATCTTTCCATTCTTTAATAAAAAGAGAATGTGGCAATTAAATGTTCTATGAATATTTTAAAAACAAAAAAATTGTTATAACAAGCATTGTACTAATGTAAGGATCAAATATATACTGAAAGTGTGAAACATTTGATCTACCTGGTTAGTATTAAAATGTGTTTAATTTCTTTTACAGTGACTATGTCCTGATATTTGCCACTAACACATTTACTTTCTCAAATTATGAAATTCAAACACTACTGGTCAAATTCACCCATATTATAAAATTACTGTCTTGTACAGAGTTACAAATAAGATGTATTTAGCCAGAAAACATATTTATAGTTGCTAAATATGTTCTGTTAGAACACAGAATTTTTGTATTTATACATTTTCATCTCCAGAACTCCATCAGTGAAGAGGTTTAACATTCCCAAAAGGAAAAAAAATATCAGTTATCAAGACTTTCCTTGTAATATGAAATGCAATTGGTATGTTTAAAGCACTTACCCCCATCAACAAAGAAAAGATCCATGTTCTGTAACTAAAACAAGGATGAAGTCTCTTTGATATCTGAAGGTCACTAGATTTGGTATCTGATATATAATTTCCATTATCTTGCTTCCCACGCTCCAATGTTGGCATCCTGTCATAATTAAATTCTTCTCTGTAGCCTTCTTCCCTGGTCATAACACTTTATAGAGGTAAATTTTTAAAAATCATGAAATGCAAACTAAAAGTATATATCAAAATGTGTCATCTTGTTTTTCTACATCCTTAGGCACATGAGCAATAAAACAGCTCTTCATCCAGTTAGAATGTAATAAATAAAATAATAAAGTAATAATAATTAATATTTAGCAGTTTACATCTTCATAGTACTTATTAATTAACTTCTCTGCAACAAGTAGAGAACTTCTTACATCCACATTCAACAATGCTATAGTACAAATAAAAGTTTGTATGACCAAAAGACATTTTTGTTTACAGTGTAATTTCATATAATTGGATTTAAGAAAAAATCTTTAGAAGATTTTCGGCAAAGAAAATTAGCATTTAATGGTTGAAGTATAAACTTTGTAGATATATCTAAAAATTATTTTTTTCTTTTAAACATTACTAAGAGACTGTAAAGATTTTCTAACAGTGTTAATTTCCTAATTTTAATTTGGCTTTAGGTATCATCCTCGGAGAGCTAAAAGTTTTATTTAGACTTTAAAATGATTCAGATGGACTCATTTATTCATAATACCAGAGTTATAACATAATTAATTGTTTTTAAAAATGATATCTAGTAACAATCATGAGGTCTGTTAATTGAGCTCTTTTTTGATTGTGTCTCTATTTTCCAATCCATTTTGATAACGTCAATAATAGGCAGATTATTATAACTTATTCTACAGTTTTCAACAGTTAAAAATTTGTGTGCTTACCTTAAACTGAAAAGTTAGTTGTCAGTTTAAAATAGTTTTGTGAGTAGAACTGTCTGTACACTTTGCGATTTTCTCACTGCTTAGTGATTCATTCTGCCGTTCAAAAGTTTGCTTTTCCACTTTGGCTTTCAACAACATCTATTCATATATGGAACAAAAGCACAGCAAAAACTGCAGTTAAGCCAGGGAACCAAGTAATGCCTCCTGAATTTTAATGAAGAGAATACACTGGAAGATGTCTGTACAATACTCTCACAAGCCTGATTCCAAATCAAACCCATAGGTATGCAAAACATTTAAAATTGATATTTTTCTAAATGAGTGTGCTTATTATAATTGACAGTTACATGAAATATGTATAATATATATAACAAAGTTATATATGTTACCATAATAATGTTTTGCATAGAATTCTTTCCACACGATTTAGTTCTTATTTCACATGGGAGACAATAATTTTGAAAATATAGTGTTTTCTTAAAAGAAAGTTAATAAGAGAAAAAGTTTCTGCACTGCAGGGAGTTTAACAAATATATATTATGTCAGAAACTGTGTCTGTCAAGAAGAATGCATTACCTCTTTCCTATATAATTGTTGTGAATATTTTAATGACTAAATCCTTGTTTTCTCATAATGTTCAGATAAAGTTTTGCAAAACTGACTTATATTAGCATGGAGCCAAAAAACAGTTGTGCTCAAAAAATATAATTAAAGTTTTAGTAGGCAACAATAGCATGCAATAGTCCTGGTCCAACTGAATCTATTCTGCTTCTTGAGATATGAAAAAAAAATACAGGAAGACATTTACCCTGAAGATTTTGGCATTATGACAATTACAGCAATTACAGGCAAAATACCGGACTATGTAGCACTTTAAAGACTAACAAGATGGTTTATTAGATGATGAGCTTTTGTGGGCCAGACCTACATCCTCAGATCAAATAGTGGAAGAAAATAGTCACAACCATATATACCAAAGGATACAATTAAAAAAAGGAACACATATGAAAAGGACAAATCAAATTTCAGAACAGAAGGGGGATGCGGGGGGG